GAAGAATGAACGCCAGACCCAGACCATCCGACTAGTGAAGGCTGGCTGGCTGGTCGAGAAGCACCAACCCGTCTGGGGGCGTCTTTAAAGATGTGCTCGGGCCTCTTTCTGGGGACACTCCGACCCCCGCGAGAGCGGCCCGCCTTTGCTGCCTCCGTCAGGCTTCCGACTACTTTAGGGAAGTGACCCATGCTTATCAATGTGCAGGTCTGACTCTACAAAACTCAAACCACTCACCTGCAGAAAACAGGGTGAATCAAAGAACACATCCACTAGTAATTCCGTAATCAATGAATCCAAAAGCTTAAAAATTAAGCCGCCCCTACTTCCCTCATCACGAGCTTGCACGATGGCTCCTTCCTGCGAGTGCCCGAACGTTTGTCTGGGAGATGAAGCGTATGCTCGCTGCTGTCCAGCGTTTCACCGGCTCCCCCGGCGGCTGGCTGGGACCTGAATATCAAACGTCGTTTTGGAATAATTTACGAACCTAACTGCCATCCAAAATACTGCTTAGAGTTCCTATGATGTGGATGGATGGGATGTTTTTATTTGGGAATTATTAAAAACACGTGGCTGGGGCCCTCCCTGGTGGCTCAGCGGTCAGAGCACAGCACTGAGAAGCTAAAGCCACCTCGGTGCAAGTTCGATCCCCCCCCCCCGAGGTGACCCCAGGGCGCGGCAGACCTCCCCTGACCCGCCCGCCGCTCCCCTCAGCAGTGCACTCCTCAGTCGGCCTGTTCTGCTCCCCGCTCTGTCTCTGGGGACTCTTCTCACCCCCTGCACCGCTGGCCTGTACCCTGGTTCTGTACGCGTAAGTAGATAAATCGTTAAGACAAAAAACAAACACACACGTGGCCATTTAAAGGACAACTTTGCACGCGTGTTGTGAAGCTCACGGCGGAACAGGCCCTATGCCCGCGTGACACGCGACTCCCCGCTACAGATCCACGCGCGACTTCTGTCACAGCGGAGCTTCTCGGACTCTGTCCTTGTCGTGTGTGAGGTGGAGGCTCTTCTGACGTTCTTTGTCATGCTAGATTTGTGCTGTTTTGTTGAAATTTTATTGGAAATTTTCCTCTTTCCCTTGGGTGGCTGCAGACGAACATTTTCGGGTTGGGACAAACGTTTATGTTTTCTCCCGGCATAGCGTTGATGCTTGGCACTCAGTACTGACAAATGACGTTGGGATAAACTTGTGAAGGGACCCAGCGGTAGACGGTGCATCTTAAGGTACGAATCACTTGCGTTTCGCCCGTAAGTGGGATCCACGTCAAAGCTTCAAACTTCACAAACTCCGGGCGTGTTCACGGCCCGCCTCCCCCAAGGAAGTGCACAGCCTTGGGGGTGAGTGGCACGCCCACCGGCTGCCTGGCTTTGGGGAGCAGGCGCCCCCACTTCTGCCCGCAGGGCCAGAATGCCTGTGGCCAGGTGCGCCACGGCCAGTGCGGGGGGGACTCAGGGCGCACTGTGTGTCCCACCCACCCAAATAAAACTCTCCTCTCGGCCAAGTGTCAGGTTTGGAGCAAACCTGGGCTGCGACCCCGAGCCCCTTAGAAGCCCAGGTCAAGGTAGGACACGCCTGCGGGCCTGTGCGTGCAAATCTCATCAGGGAGAAGGGAGAATGGCACTGTCCGTCCCCCGCCCCCCGGCCTGCAGCTGCTCAGCCCCCCCCCCCCCCACTCCAGGACACTGGGAGGTGACGGCGGTGGCGGAGCAGAGCTGGGCGGCCGGGAGCCACGAATCAGCTGATGGGAGGGAAGCCAGGCCACTGGGGCCACCAGCCGCTCCATCAGGCCACTCTCCGCGGGGCCTGCCAGGGACAGCTCATCCCCGTCGCAGCGGGTCCGGCTACTTCAAAATAGCTTGAACTTAGTAACAAAAATGTGTCTGCCGTGGCCGTAACAACTACTGAGGGGTTATCTGGGACAAAGTGCCAGTATGTAACACAGGACTGTAGCTGATGTTTCTCAGTAGAGGGAACTTATTAGTGGCCACTTAGGATACAAGGTTTCCCCATAAGCTGTGGGAGGAAAGACACCCGGCACCTGGAACGACTGCTTTGGAAAATTAGCCATGATTTTTATTCCAGCACTGGACTAAGAGGACCTTGGGGAGTGCAAGTTCTGGGGCCGCACACCCATGGCAAACGACATCTGTGTGCCGCGTGACCAAGCGGTCACTTCACAAACACGCTTCTCGCACATGAAAGACGCCCTGAACATGAGGACCAAGAAAACGTGGAAATACGCCAAGCGGTTCGGAAAGGAAGGTTGGAGGGGAGGTCCTGGAGCGGAGCGGGGAGAAGCCCAGCAGGCCTGGGTGTGTCCGCCTCCTCTTCCGTCTGCTCTCCCTGACCATCTGAGCGAGCCTCGAGTCTCGCGGTGAAATGAGACAGCGGGGAGAAGGTCACTTCGGGGTTGAAGTGACCGACGCGGGCTCAAAGGCCGCAAGCCACGCAGTGGTGGGGATCCCTAATTCAGGTCCCACAGGTAGGGGGCGCTGACCTGGCGTGGGCAGGCGATGTCCAAGTGGGGCCAGGCGGCCCCCAAGTCCCTACCCTGGCTGACCGGTCTGCGCAACCTCCGCCCTCTCTCCTCGGGTGACGACAAGGAGCCAAGTCCGAGAGAGGCAGGTCGGCGGGGGCAGGGCTGTGCACTGACCCACAGCACTGCCCCAGCCCCCTTCAGTCAGGCCGCTGGCACGGGCACGTGCCCGGCTGGCCTCCCCAAGCCCTGTGGTGACACACACCTCCAGGAAGCACCTGCCGCCGCCTTCTGTGAGCGGCCCAGACAGACTCTCAGCCAACGACAACCATTTTCTCCCTTCTTTCTGCCAAGCAACGTTCCACCATGGACCTCAGCCTCGAAGCAGGCCTAGGGGTGCTCTTGGGGTGCCAGGGGTGCAGCGCGTGCATCTTCAGGGGCCGCTCTGTAGCGAGACACTGGCTGCCCTCCCCCGGCCGCGTCAAGACCAGCAGGAGCGCGCGCATGTGGGTCTCAGAGCCAACTGGAGGTAACGAACTGGCCAGAAGAGTCTGTGACCGAAACGCGGCGGGAATTCCGGCTGCACCAGCCGGGTGCGGCCAGGAGGCAGGGAGAGGGGCCGGACCAGATCCCGTAGCAAAGCGCACTGAGGCCCCCATCAAGCTCCAGACCGCTCAGAATTGTGCAGGGGTCCTGTCCACGGACACCCCCAACCCGGATGCCGAGTCACCCGGATCTGGCCTGAGAGGCGGCCCCCAGCCCCCAGGGGGAGACCATCACGGCTGGAGAAGAGAAAGGGCAGGCATGGGGGTGCGCGTCGGCTGGGCCAAGAGAAGAGTTTGAATGTAAGCTGGATTGCAGAGGCTGTCGGGCCTTAGAGACCTAAAGAAGTTACAACAGAACGTCCATTCGGGAAAAAAAAAAAAAAAGAATTCAAAAGCTGCAAACTAATTTTTGCCACCTACGAAGACACAAGGACCTGGACCTCTGTAACTGCGACTGTCTCTGCCCAGGCACAGCTGCCCAAGGGGGTGAGGGAGCCGGCAAAGGCCAACTTCCCCGAGAGACGCCTCCGCCGGCCGCGAGGATGCAGGCGCACGGAGCTGGCCACCGCCACGACGCCCTGGCCCGGCCTGCTCTGATCTACCTGAATGAAAGTCAAAGCAAGGCTACCCGGCTTGTGCGCGAAACCTGCAACAGAGATCGTCCCCGCTGTGGCCACTCTGCAGACCTGTCCTTTGGAGGAGACACCTTCAGCATCGCCCCGCACGCCCCCCCAGGTGACCGGGGCGCAGCACCGCGGCACCCTCAGAACCTGCCAGCTACGGCGCCTCCTGCGCAGCAGCGGCCTGTCTCCTGGGCGCTGTCCCGCAGGGCTGCGCTGGGCTCCTCGTCCTCAGCACCTGCCATCACAAGCCTTCTACCTGCAAGTCCCCACTCGGCCCCTTTTTGTTTTGACCAGGTGATGAAAACACCGTAAGACGTTTCCAGGGGAGACAGCCATCTTTGTTTTTAACATAATTAAGAGCCTAACCCGCGCCGATCATCTCCGCACCGTCTGTCTGGGAGACAGACCGGGAGGGGGAAACACCGTGGACCCTGTCTCTGTGTCCACCCCAGGACGACCTGGTGGCCATGAAGCGGGGACTTGGCGGAATGCAGAGACCAAAGCAGGCGGGGTGGCTCGGCCGCGTTTTAGGAATCCTCCTTTTCTGAAACTCCTGGACCACACTTCTGGGAGTCGCGCCCCCACCCCAGCCCTCCCCGCCGGCCAAGTGGCATCTCCCTCCTACTGGCAGGTGCTGTTCCGCTTCCTGCGCTCACTCTGCCTTCTCAGAAAACAACAGACGAGGCCGACAGCAAAATCAGCGTCTGGTGGCAAGAGCGCCGCTACCCTGGGAGGGGAGAGAAAATCCCTTTGGGCCCAGCATGGCCGCCTCCGTGGCGCGCGCGGCGTGGCGTGGCGTGGCGGGTGTGTGGTGGTGTGTGTGTGTGCGCGTGCGCGCGCGTCCAGGCCGGGGTGCCAGACTGTCCCCCGTCACCACCGGGCCTGTCTCTCCCAGCCAATCCAAGGGGCGTATACAGACTGAGCGTCCATCCTTTCCGCAGATGCAGATGTGCTTTTAGGAATAATGAGGGGGCGGAGGGATTTGCAGCCCCCGGGGGG